GCTGGTAAAATTACCATTTCGTTAAGATATTAAGTAGATTCGAGAAGCTCGGAAACTCGGCTGGAAGACTCCGTACGGTAGCTGCGCAGCAGGTACATCGAGCGAATCACTTTGCCGTTATTATTCCATAAATAATAAACGGAATAGAAGACACTTAGCGTCGTGGTATAATTTAGGCCAAGTTCGTTCTTCTACGTGTTCGTTTTTCGCAATTACAGCAACGTGCGATTTCAATATCCGCATCGCGCCGCTTTTAACCAGCTAATCACAGGTGTCCGACCGCGTGCACGTAGTCATCCGTTAATTGGCCTCGCGAGGAGAGCTGAATGATGAACGGGGAGCGTCCGAGCAAATCGAGCAGCAAGAAACGCAAAGATGGAAAAGCTGGATCGCGACATCGTTCCGGCGACTCCTATGGTATCAAATTGAAAAGTAATATCGCTACCAAAGTGTGACATAATTGCTCGTACGTATTGGCTCGCTATGTCCGGCAGGATAATTACAAAGTTCGTCCCTGTTCTCCGAACTCGATACTGCATCACCGAACACTCGCCTCGACGGGCTATCGGCTTTTAATAATCGCTCGTGAAACTCGTTAAGATGCTGGCGTCGGTTAATCGACGTAATACGCGCATTTCTCTTCTAATTGGCGAAATCGAGGTCTCAATCGAGGGGCGGGCCGGGGTAGGGTGGGTCGCGGGCGAAACCGGATCGCCGAAAATTAAGCGTCGCCGTAACGCAGGAACAAATTGAACCGAAACGCGGCTAACTTATCAACGCGTCAACGGAGATAAATGTCTCGTTACCAGGACGCGGCCAACGTTCACGTCCAGGAATCCGGTGAAACTTTCCCTTAAATCTTTCGGTGCTCGTGAAACGCGTACAAGCGCGAGGAACGCTCGCTCGAACGGCAGATTAATTCCTGGGAACCTTTTAGCGTGATTTCGGTGATCCTTTATTGCCCGTACGAGGCGTGTTGGTATTTACAGTGACATACGGACGTCGCTTAACTTGATAGTCGACGCGTTAACACGGTCCGGCGTTATAAAAGACGGACAGGCCTACGTGCTAGGCGCCCACGCTCCGACGTAACATTCCTTCACCAACCACCTGACTCGAATTTCCCGAGACCTAAATTTTCAGCTATAAAATTACAAATTTCTCCGCGCATCCTGTCGTCTCGTCGCGACGCAAAAAAGGGAAGGGAATCGTCGGCGCCGAGGATAATAATCGAAGGCACCGCGAGACATTCCCTGAAGAATTATTATACTAAACGAGCTGCCACGTCCGGGTGCCAAGACACCGAGTATTATCCCATTAGAATAAATGCAAAGCAGAGTTGACTTCTACCATCTCGATGTACCCTATCCCTGTCTCCGTTCGGTCGTCTTTCAGAGACTGATTTTCTCGTCGGATCGTTTGGCCGTCTCTTTCTCCGGCTCGCTTTCGCCCTCTCCGTCCGTTTGGTACAGCTTCGCGTCTGGTCGGGCACAAGGGTGGAAAATGGGAGGCAGTCGGAGCGGTAGGGCGCATTTACATGATATGAATATAATGGAGAGGGCCGGGTCGCTGGCAAACCCAGAACTACGAGAGCGCTACCTGTTGAACGAACAGTTCAAACCCACGCTGACCTACGGGATATATTCGGCCGGTGTGGACCGGCGCTCCAGCCGCTACCAGGACATCCCAGATCTTTCGCCAGGATTCGTTAACCTTTCTTCTCTTTTAACACATCGATGCAAATGGGTATAAGCACGTTTTATAGAGTCTATGATTCTTGTAATTTTATGGCGCCTTTCGCGTCTGCAGGGGAATCCATTAACCTTTAGCCATTTAAGTCCACTTCCTATTAAACACTGGTACCGGCATGCGTGGAATTCAAACATTCGGTAATTGCTTCCCTGGGCTTTGTGTTATTTTATTTCGTGATGGGATAATCGTCGTACCGACTGCATCGATTTGGAAGACGCGTTCCGAAATCGAACCTTCGATGCCTATAAAAGATTTATCGCAAATATTTGCTCGTTGTTAAAGGACGTTTAAGATCCCAGAAGCGAAAGAGAGACCTACGCGAGAAAACTGAGGAGGAAATGTCACCTGTCCAATTAAGGACCACTTTCCTATCCGCGATACGATCTCCACGCGCGCTCGGCTAACTCGCACGGTTCCATTCTACCAAACGGAGACAAAGTCGTCGCCGCCATAAATATGTATAGGATAACGCGTCGTTCAGCCTAAGGCTCCGGATGTTTCCCTTCTTTTCCTCGATACTTGCCCTATCGTAGCCACGGATAGCTGTCGGATTATGCGTTCGTCAGACAGCGTGTACTTTAAGCGGTCTGGAAGTTACGAGTTAGATAAACGCGTTTAGGAAATTTGGGTTTAAGGTATCACCGATAACGGCTATTAACGGACCACGGAATATTAATTACCGGCGCCACAAATTTCTCGTAATCGAAAGACAGAAAAAAAAGCATCCAAGGTGGTATCGGTATTTCGTCAGCAAGTTCAAACAGCAAAATCGAAGTTCTTCGATCATGTTTATAAAATATTTTCGATCACTCGCGAAATATCCATGCGGAAAATTTAAATACGAGACTGAATAAGGAAACTTTCTATTATGAGTATGAAAAGCAAACGTTGTATTTGAACGGAAAATCGAGGATACCTGATTCGCGGAAGAATAGAGAATCGATCGACGATGTTTACCGTCGTGCAGCCGTGTGCCCGACATTATTTTTCGAGGCTCGATTACGCACGAACGAGAAGCAGTCGTCTCGTAAAAATCGTTCTCTGGCAAAGCAACCGGAGCAGCGTGCTCTCCGTTGAGAGACAGAACCCGGTTAAAATAAAGAACCGAGGAATAAAGAGAGGCCCCCAGGCGAGAGGAACAGTCGAACATCGAGCTGAGAAACGACGGAGAAGCGTGAAGGCAATATAAAAGGGCAATAAAATCACGACGGTTAACAATACGGGCACGAACTTGGCCCACCGTCTTCTCTCCTTGCTTCCTTCTGTGAACGCACCCTGGTCAATTTCATTTGTCCTCTCGATCTCGCAGATTGCTGCTTTCAGCGAATTTTCGAAATTCCGACTACCGCTGGACCACGATATTACTTTCCAGTATCATCAACTTTTCGCTATTTGAATTCGTCACAAGTTGACAAGTATCTTCAAGGTTTCCTAAGTTTAAAAATTCCCAAAGCCCTTAATTCCGAAATCGTGCCGTCATTGTAATCCGCTATCGTATCATGAGTGATTCTACGAAGCATGGTCATAGAACAGGTGGTAATCTAACACGTTACTTTCCATGTGTGTGCAGGGATTTATCCGAGAAGCATGACAGTCTACCAAGTTCTTCATAATTCTTTCGTACAACCCCTATATGTCGAGGCACAGAATGATATCAAAACTTATTGGTTTACAAAAGCTTCCGATGGTTCGAGTATTCATGAAGTCGAAGAGTAACGGGCCGATGGATAACTTGAGTATCGAACACCTCAAGTATCGAGTACCTCAAGAGACTACGGAGTCTCCGATCGAGAAAACGAGACAAGTTTCGCGCGTGTTCCTAAATAAATTCGCAAAGGAGTTTTCAACTGACGATTGTCTCCGGGTCCGTTCGAGAGCGGAGTATACCAGCCGTGAAACCAGTAGTCGTACACAAAGGAGAAGCAGGTACACGCGTCCGTCGAGGCGCGATTAATTTCAATTCTTGTCGCGCGACAACTTCCTACGACAGACCGTAAACGTTCATTTCAAAGAATCCCAAACGGACGGAGTAACGTACTGGTGGATGCGAAACGAAGAAGAAAGAGACGCGAGGCGCCACACTCTTCCGTGACGAGCGCGTTCGAATCCCGCAGCCGGATCACGATCGGTAACGCAACTATCCATTAACGATACTCCAGTCTTTCGCTTCTGTCAAGCCTATTAATTCATGGAAATTAAGACTTTTTTAGCGAAATTATTTCCGGGAAGATGCATTCATAAATCTATGTTCTTGTAATTTATACACCGATGTGAAAATAATAATTACGCAACGAAGAGAAAGAAATATGCGAGAAATCGCGACTTCGCCTTTCATTAACTCGTCGATGGACATTCCAACAATCGATTTTTCTTCTATCGAGAAACAGATAAAAACTCGGCCGCCTTCCATCACGGATCGGTGTTAATGACCGTAATCGAGAGAGCTAGAATATCACGATAGATCGTTATTAAAGCGTACCGCTCGTAATTACTTCGGACTAATAACTCGTGCAGACGCCGGTGTACCGTACGCGAATACCCGAAGAATGCCATTGGATTTCGTAACGTTGGTTTATTAAACACGCGGGGTCGAGACCGGAGGGAGAACTAGGGATACTCCCGAGGAGCTTTATCCTGCCGCGTAAACCGCACGCGATTTATGCTCGACCGAACGCTCTCACGCAAACCACCCTGCACGCGTTTCGGTTTCGCGTCGAAAACGCGTGGCGTTGATCAAAGCGCTACGCCCTTCAAGAAATGCACGTTTCCTACGTTCGCGTTTAGAATGGATAAGTCTTTGCAGATTCTGAACACCTTAAAATATGTTCCCAAATTGTTTTAATCGATACGTAAGTCATGTAAAATCTCGAGAACTTGAAGGTTATAAAAATCTGTAAAGACACCCTCGATAACTTCGATTTGTTAACATCCACCTGCGTACGGTAGTAAAAAAGGAGCCTGAAGGATTAACTCGTCGAGGCTTTACGCGAACGGGCCGTGTCAGAACAATGTAGTCCGTACGATGGTGCACGATAAAGTCTTTGCCCGTGGCACGAGTCAACGTCGAGTTGAAGGAGGCGTCACGTAAACAAACGGGAGCCTAAGCCGGACAATTACAGATAGCCGGTTAGGAACAATGAGTGCCGTTTGGAGAAGAGAACTCCAGGCACAGGCCGTAAATCTGAGCGGAAAACAGGTGGACGCGCGTGATCGCGGGTAGTATATGTACAGTAGATCGAGTAACTGACCTTGCGAAGAAAGCTGCGGCTGCGCTGGCCTGCGCCGGCGTCCCGGGCACCCCGCTCACGTTGTACGAGTACTTGGTCTCCTGGTACACTTGATACGCGCTTTGCGGCTTCGAGTGAGACGATCGGTGATAATAATGGTCGGCGTACACCGCGCTCTTCTCCGTGGACCGTTCACCGGCGACCTTGGACAGGCCGTAATTCTGCATCGCGGTCGAGGAGGACGACGTCTTCGAGTGACATTTCTCGTGGCCGTTCTTCTCGGGCCCGTGCGAGTGCGACTTCTCGTGGGCAGACGATACGGGCTTGTCGATGGTCCCGTAAGACTTGTAGTCGTACCCCTTCAACTCGCCGTAGTACTTGATATTCTCGACCTTGAACCCGTGGCCGACCTCGTGACCCTTCGACTTGGCGGTCTCGTGTTTGCCGTAGCCGAGTTCCTGGACCGATTTCATCCTCTCCCCGCACTTCCCGACGGTCTCGATACCGTGAAGAATCGCCTTGGTCGAGGGCTTCTCGATCTTCAACATCGATCTCTCGCACAGACGACCTTGCACCGCCTCGCTGGCCTTCAGCAGAGAATCCACGGCACCCTTGTACCTGTCGCACGTCGAAGGGTCGCACGGCACACCGCTACCACCGTGGCAGACATTACCGGAAACGGTACCGCAAC